AATAATTTATAATTTTTTAAAGATTTCTGAAGTGGTGCCCTTTAATTTATTAGTTATGAGATAGTTTATTGCCTTTTGAGCAAGAGAAAGTTGGTTTAGAGCAATACTTAGTATGAAGAGGTTTATTTTCAGAAGTCTCTAATATTTATGAAAACATGGCAACTTCTCTGTAAACACACCTTGATATAATTTAAGGAAAAAAGAAGAGTTGAAGAGAAAATAGTTAGCTATATTTAAAGAAGATCTCATCACAGGTTTTGACAGTTTTCAAACAAATCTTCAGTTATATTAAAATTAATTTTCTTGGATTTTTTTCAGCAACTGCAGCCAAAAATGATGTATGTTTACAGTTATCTGAACATTTATAAAGAGGTTTGAAACACTTAATTACAAGGACTGAATTATAGTATCAGTCCTTGATTTATGGCTCTAATGTTAGTTAACTAATTAGAAATGTAAAGTGTTCCAGTTCATTTGCATTCATCTTTCATTAACTGGCTTTTAAGAAGCGATGGGAAATTGCAACTTCTAAAGAAATTTATTTAGCCAGATTTCCTGACAACTATTTTTTTCTTCTTTCCAAGAAAATGATTTCCTTGTTAATATATGGGTAAGAGTTTTATAGGTGTCAGTAACATAGTCTGAAGTTGAATTTTGGCACCAAGTTCTCTTTGAAGAAGAATAATAGCTTTTGTAAGCAAAAATTGTGTTTCTTTGGTTACTGAACATCAGGAGCTGTCATGGAGCTGGTTTTCATCCTGTCTCCTTTTTCCCAAAACTCCAAAACCTGTTTTTCTTGTGACATACTTCAGAAAGATTTAAAATAAACATCTACACTGCATTTATAACTACTCATTAGAAAGTAACTACATCATTATTTAAAAACCTGTTTTTCTTGTGACATACTTCAGAAAGATTTAAAATAGACATCTACACTGCATTTATAACTACTCATTAGAAAGTAACTACATCGTTATTTATATTTCAAGCAAAACTGAGGTTCATGGTGTTGGGACGAATTGGCACAAGGTGATTCTGAGAAAATTCTGGATATTGGGAAGGACAAAAGTCACCCATGATCACCCATGAAGTTGATCAGGCATTCAAACAATAGACAGAGAGATTTGGAAAATCTCCAAGGATGGAATTCCCATCTTCACTGGATGAGCCCTTGAGCAACCTGACTTGAAGTCAAAGTTGTCTGTGTTTTAAAGATGTGTTAAAAGTATTACCTTCAGGAGTTCATTCCAACCTAAATTACTCTGTAATTCTGAATTGTCATTAACAGATATCCCAAAGAAATACTTAATAATATTTAAGACTAGAAATTAGTTATAAATAAAAGTTTTATGGGACATGGATGAAAAATTATTAAGTACAACTGAGTGACTTTTATTTTTCATGAGCCAAGTTTTGATCATCATAAATTTTTCTCCTTATTTACAAATACCACAGAAGTATATTCACTTTTTACAGTTCAAAGTGAGGAAAGCTGGCTTGGGTTAATTATGCATCCTCTGTGCTACACAATTTATTATTTAAAATCTAAATAGTATTTGTATGTAGTCTGTAAAGAAATTCTTGAATTTTTTCATGGAGTACAACATATCTGCTTGTGAAAATGTTGAATTGCGTTTCAGGGTTTAGACATACTGGAGATATTTGATCTGTAGATTGTTCATCTTTGATCTGTAGATTGTTCATTTTCAAGTCTCAAAAAGTATGGAAGAATCCCAGATGGGTCAGGCTGGACAGGGACAGCCAGGGACACCCAGGGCTGAAGGTCCCTCTCAGCTGGGGCTCTTCTCCAGACTGAACAGCCCCAGCTCCCTCAGCCTTTCCTGGGCAGGGAGATACTTCATCCCTTCATCACCTTTGCAGCTGCTGGCCCTGCTCCAGGAGCTCCAGGTCTCGCCTATCCTGAGGAGCCCAGAACTGGACAGGGTTCTCCAAATGTGGCCTGACAGGGCTGAGCAGAGGGGCAGGATCCCCTCCCTGCACTGCTGGAAATGCTCTATCTAAAGCACCCCAGGATGCCATTGGCGTTCTTGGCTACCAGGATGCACTGCTGGCTCAGGGACAGCTGGTTGTCCATGAGGACACCAAGGTCATTCTCCCCAGAGCTGCTGCATCGGGTCACCACCAGCCTGTGCAGGTCCACAGGTTCAAGATGCTGCATTTGCATATGCAAATAGATCTGTACATGCATATTTCCATACTCCAGATGGGTTTTTGGGTCTCACAGAAGACTTGAGTGCATGGCCTTCAGATCTAAGGAGCAAAATGTGATTAACGACTTGCTGAGAGGTATAAGATATGTTTGAAAGTTGCTGTATAGGTAGAGAACTTTACACCTGTGGCTGTGAGGAAGAGGAGGAAAAGGGAGGCATTTCTAGGAGGATTGGTTAGGGATCTGAAACAAATAGCTATTCTTTTCAATATTTTTTTCTTGCTAATTCCATAAGTGGCTTATATAGTTCATTTGGTGCAATTAAAGTCCTGCTACTGCCATGTGAAATATGAGGTTGTGAAAATGAATTTATACAGATGATGTCTTAAAATCCCAAGCATTACCCTTTGGCTCAGAAGCCCCATTACATAAATATGCACAGACCTAACTCTTGGAGAAGTCATTTCTAATTTAGGTGCTTGTAAAACTGCTCTGCTTACTACTGTGAAACACAGACCCCAGAAGATACATATGAGACATTATTTCACATTCTGGCTAATGCAGCATTTTTTTTCTGACAAGTCAGCAGTTCCTGGACCTGGAACAATACATTATCTGGTTAAAATTCTTCTATTTGTCCTTTTATTAAATAATGGATTTCCATAAATTCCTTGTGTTTATTATTATTTAACTTCTGAGGATTCTGTGAAGTTATAGATTTCTCAGAGGTTCCTTGCTCCGTATAGTAATTCCTTATATAGTTCCTTTGTCTGAGCAGTCTGTGTGTGAATTAGAAATTTTCTTGAGAAATCTTTTCTATGAGCCTTATTCTGCTGAAATTAAGAAGATATTAAAGTGGAGTTCATATTTATCTTCGAATAAATCCATTTGAGCATTTTCTGATTAATAATAAACAGATAGAATTTTCAGTGCTAAAGGTACATGCTGGTTATGTTTCATGTTCCTAAATTTTAATGTGCATTTTGATACATTGTTGGTTTTGCTCTTTTGTTTTTTTTCAAATTACTTGTATCATTTGGCTTGCACTTGCTGATTGCTCTTGGATATTAAAAGAAGTAGACTAATCATAAAGTTATCAGAACATTGTAAAAATTGAAATGGTTCATTAACAAATCTTATGTGGTTTGAAATAGGTGTGATTATTAGAAATCAGAAGGCTTTTCCATTTCCAATTCCTATTTAATGATTTTTTTCTCTTTTTTAAAGCTCAAATAACAAGTGCACAGCCTACAGAGCATTTTTAGTCCATACGCAATTAGGAGACTTTGCATGATTTCAACAAAAGGTTCCTGAATTACACTGTGTTGTAAATGTGCCTGAGAGTGAGAGCAGGTGATTATTGCTTTTGTATTTCTTACCTTGAACTGCAAAAGCAGAAAAGCAGATCAAAATATAATCCAGCAGTGACTCAAAACTCATAACTTTACATGAAGTTTTACTGTGAAAAGAGTGGAAACAATGTGGTTTAAACCTATTTGATATTTAGCAATAAGTTTGATAGATACAGTACACAACTGTTTAGTAGTGATCATAATTTGGAATTAACCTTTATTAGACAAGAGTCTTTGAAAATAAATTCATTTTCTAGTAGAATAAAGATATTTTGCTAACCAGTAGACTATTTGACACACTGAAGATGTTTCCAGATTATCTTCATGTAGTGCTCCCTTTTTAGTTAACTAATCCAGCATTTTTTTCCTGACTAAAACCCAAAAAAAGCTGTTGAAAGATGCTCTACAGAATGGAAGTCAGAGATTTAGTATTTTTGTGTAAATGTCATTATCTAGTAATGATTTCCTTGCAGTCTTAACTTCCTCAATTTTTTAAATTCATGAAATATTGAGGGAATATCGTAACACTTCAGCAGTGTAGGCTGCTTATTAAAATAATCAAAATGAAATTACTAACCGAGAATATCCTACTCTATCTTCAGGAATAAAAAACTTATACCTTGCATATGAATGTCTTGAAAAGCCAAGAAATTTTCAGAATATTTGTGGAAAAATAATACCGCTTTAGCATGGGATGATTTGGGTTGAAAGGGACGTTAAAGCTCATCTTGTTTCAAGCCCCTGCCATGGGCAGGGACGCCTTCCACTATCTCAGGTTGCTTCAAGCCCTGTCCAAACTGGCTTTGGAGACTTCCAGGATCAGGGTCAGCCACAGCTTTGCTGGGTAACGAGGTTATGAATTTTTATATAAATATATTTATATATATATGTATACACACACATAACATACACACACATGTGTGTGTATATATATATATATATGCACAAACATACATATATTTTTTTAAAATGTGTATATATATTTCTCTAATATTTACTTTTTTAGGAATTTGGTAGATAATTGCTCCAATAAAGTTTTGATAATTCTTGTGATCACTTCCAACCTGGTATTCTATGATAAATTATGTATAGGAAACACTAAAAAATCTTCTACTATCACAGGTTGCTTCAAGCCCTGTCCGGCCTGGCCTTGGACACTTCCAGGGATCCAGGGGCAGCCACAGCTTCTCTGGGTAACAATATTATTAATATATATACATACATACATACATATATATATATATGTGTATATATATATATGTATATATACATGTATATATATAAAAAACTTTACTTTTTTCAGAATTTTGGTAAGTAATTGCTCCAAGAAGGTTTTCATAATCCTTGCGGCCCCTTCCCACCTGGTATTCTATGATAAATTATTTACGGGAATGACTAAATAAACCTCTCCAAAGGCACTGAAAATGCCAAAGACCCGCGACCGCTGACCATTTTCTCGTTTATCCTTTTCCCTCCAGAACAAGATCATCCTGGACCCGATGACGTTCAGCGAGGCGCGGTTCCGGCCGTCCCTGGAGGAGCGTCTGGAGAGCATCATCAGCGGGGCGGCGCTCATGGCCGACTCCTCGTGCACGCGCGACGACCGCCGCGAGCGCATCGTGGCCGAGTGCAACGCCGTGCGCCAGGCCCTGCAGGACCTGCTCTCCGAGTACATGAACAATGTAAGTCACGCGGGGCGCCTCGGCCCCCCTGAGGCTGCAGCTGCTTTAATGTATCTCAGAAGTTGTAACACGGCTCTGTGCTGGGCGTAGGGGTGGTGCTGTTTGAGTTGTTGAACGTTTTAATGCGTTGCAAGTGTTTGACAGGAGTTGGGCGCAATCACAAGCTCATGGAGAGTGCTGTTGTACCTGCCAAGCAACTCCATGCTTCCTGTGAATTTGGCATTGAAGTTTTTTCTTATGTGATAACTAGCAGTTCCTTTAGAAGTAGAATACTTTTAAAAATGAAAATAACAGTGAGTAATCTAAATGCGAAATGGCCCAAGAATTATTTTTTTATTGAAGATGAATATGGGTAATTTTCAGCATGCTTGCCCTTGTGGGATGGTCACTGTGTTTGATTTTTAGGATGTTACCTATAGATATTCACAAGACGTTGACTTTTTGGTATGTGGGTTACACCACTGAAGGTTTCACTATCTGGTGGAGCTATGAAATTCTCAGTTGCCATGAAAGTAGTGAGTTCAGCACTAGTGCTGTTCACAGTTTAAAAACAACTCTCTGGGTAGGGTTTCCAGAGGCATTGGATTGTTGAATGTGGTGTTAACTGGCAGTGCATAACCTTTGTTCTGCACAGCTTATCCCAGAAAATTCTCTCTACCCAATGTTGGGTATTAAAACTCAGATGCTCTATTGCCATGTCCTTTTGAGGATGTGGGGAAAAGACCAAAGCAACATCAACAACCTGTTTTAAATTAAAATGTTTGCCAAGAGGTGTCAAACTGAGCATCCTCTACTTGGCTATTTCTTTGGTTGCTCCCAGAGTGTCTGATGACACATTTTGATCCCATTTTGCTGGAATCGTCATCAAAATAATGCTGAAGAGGGTGTTCAAGGATAGACCTTTAACAATGTTATTTTCATTAGTACTCTTGCAGTTGTTAGAGTGAAGGAATTCAATGTCAATAGTGCAAATTTCAGTCCTTTAGTCACTTCATTTTACAGTTCAGGTTTAAATGTTTCTTTTCAAAGATACTGTTCCATGTAATCAAGTCACCTCAAGGAATAGCTGTTTGAATTGGAAAGCATTATTTGCCTCTTAGTTTTTTGAAATGATGGTTGACAGTTTCTTGTGAAAGCTTGAATGAATGTGAAGTTTTGCTGCTGTGTTATGGGTTAGAAGTTATAAAAGAGAACATTAAATACCAGGTGGTGAGGCTGTGGTGGAAAACAGCTTGCTGGGTTTCTTCCTACAAAATCTTGCTTTGTAAAAGCAATACTGGTGTCATCCTTAAAGGTCTTTTGAGAAAACTTTGAGAACTGATGAATGGTGGCTTCGCATTTTATTGTGGTGCCTCTTTTTCAGTATACAGAGTTTTGGTAATGGTGTAATTTGCCCCTGGACCAGAAACATTCTTATTGTGTTTCTGACTGCATTTACAGAGGGAAGAAAGTTTTAAATTCCTGCAGGCATTTATGACCACTCTGAAGGCTGCTAATATCGTTTCATCATTTTTACTTAAACACATAATGGTGTGAGCAGCTGCTTTTATGGTTTCCCACAGTATGGTTTTTGAAAGTCTTTTTTTTTTTTCTTTTTTGTGTCCTTCTTAGTCTGAGTCGCACAACCCCTGTAATTTATTTATTTTTCTGCTTTATACTGAAATGTAGTCAACTTAAGTAAGATTTTTTTTAATATCTATTCAGTAAACATTATAAAAACTGAATATATACGTAAATTACATAAAATGCAGTACTTCTGATTTTAGCAGATCTGGTGTGGTAGAATTTGACAACGATAATTTCTAATCTGAAGTTAGCAGTTACAAGGGATGGGATTAAGATTACATATTACTATGCCTAAACTTAGGTTTTTTACACATAGAGACAGGTAAAGTAGGGGGTGTCAATTCAGTTCTTTAAGGCTGGATGTAATTTTAAGATACCAGGTTAAAAAAATTCCAATGCTTGTTTGAGCATTGACTCCTCAATCTGCCCCTCCAAGGAATTTTAATCCTCTGTGGGTCAATTTGTAGCTGCCAGCCCAACTTCCATGTCATGTATGCTCTAGGAATGGATAAATTGCCAGACTCCTTCCTTCATTAAATCATTTGAGCCTCTGTTGCTTAAGCTGCAGTTATAATTGTCAGAGACCAGATCAATACTGGAGATAGATCAATATGGCAAACAGAGCCTGAAGAGCTGTTGAGATGGCAACTGTTATAATCTAATAGGGGCAGGGGGTACGTTAAATATCTCTAGACTTCTCTGATATATTAATTAAGTCTACATAGCCAGGACAGATCAGATCCTGAGCTTGTAGGCAGCTCCTGCTATTTAAGGGTTGAATTTCATCCATTCTGCCCTGGCTTTGGTACTAAACCTATTTTCTTGAAACCTGTGGATTGATTTTCTTGGGTTCTCAAAAGTTCTGAGCATGTTCAGTATAACAAAAGATCTCACTTGGAAAGTGTTTTAAAGCTTTCATGAGTTTCAAAAGAGTAAAAGTGAATGGGACGCACCAAACATGACACAGTCCTGTCTGATGAAGGTTGATTTTGCAGAGATGCACGTCTTTAACATCTTCTGCCTGTGTGGCTTTAAACCACTGCAATCCTGCTCTTGCTTAAAACATTGTGAAATTAATCAGTCATTCACATTTTGGGGTTTCTTCTGTTTGATGATAGCTGAAAAATGATGATTTTTTTGGGATGAGTGTTGATCAAGTGAGCATACAGCAAAGTAAATACTTTTTGGTGATATTTAAAGATGCAGACAATGAAGGGCAGGGTGTTTGCAATGTGCTGTTCAGTCAATGTTAGTTCAGTCCTTCTCCAGCTTAAAATAGTTCCTTTTCATTCATCTACTTCTATGATTTGGGTTCAGAGGGGTCCTTCTTACAAATCTTCAAGAGCTGATGGAAAGGACTATGAGTTGAAGAAAAAGTAGATACTTTCAAAATTTTGGCATCCAAAGAAAAATCTGAAAAGAAAAAGTTGGTAGAAAGAAGGAGAGGGGAGATTTTGACTTAGGTAAGTGAAAATGGTGCTGCTTCTTCAGTTATATTATTTAGTGTTATAAAAGATGGGTTTTGGTTTCTGCTTCCTTCTCCTCAGATAAATGTTGATTTGCTCCATTTCTTACCTATCAAATAATGGTTTTAATTAGTCCCTAGGCTCTTTACGAATTCTATGAATAATTATGTATTTGTACAGTTACTGCATTGACCAGTCTCACAGTACCTAAACTCTCTGTAAGGGAGATCCCTGGGAGTTCTCTGCAAGAAATTCTATGGACATGAGATGTAAACTGCTTCATTATTCTTTGTATATCCATAAATATGCATATTCTTCATTTGCCTTATCAGTAACTTTGACAAAATATTTTCCCAGCTTGGTATCTATTATTTCTCTCATGAACTCAACTGAACTTTAGAAACTGTTACTTTTGGGAAGCAAAGGCAAGAGAGTTCTCAGTTTGCTGTGTCATATGACTTTTTTTTTGCCCGGGTTCTCAGAGAAAATTGATAGGGTATTTTTCAGCTTCTTATGTATACGTGATAAATCCCATAATTTATTTCAAAATAAAATTATGTTTCTAGACTTCCGTCCTACAGAGAAGACCTTAAATGCAGCTCCACAGAAGCTCTTAATGCAATTGTTTTCCATTTGTCTAAATGAAAGCCTTATTTAACGGATGGTTAGCTCTGATTGGGGTCTAGTTTCCTGCTGGTTTTCTCTCCTGGATCCTTCATGATTTATATTGCAGGCTGTCAGGGAGCAAAAATACCAGGAACCTGGGAGTTCCAGCTCTTAAACTCCTGGCTCAGAAATATGCTGCCAAACTCAGTGATGGGCACCCTTTCTAGCAAAACTCTGGGTGCTGCTGGGTTGATGTCTGATTAACATAAGAAAGAGGAAATTATATCTTTAGAAAAATATGCTTAAAAAAGGATGCTTTGAATTCCCTCTGACATCATCAGATTCAGTGCCAGAGACAGACTGAATGTTGTGTTGCTGGGGTGTATCAATGATAAATTTGGAAAGCAGTTGACAAGTGAGTAAGCCATGAGTGTTAAAGACCTCTGTACTCACTCCAGTACTGGCTTGGCATTAATTCAAATCTGCATTTGAAAAGGCATTTCCCAGCTGGTTCAAATATGATTTTCTCCTCTAAAGCCTTTGGGCTCATTATTAAGCCAGCTTGCATTCTCCTGCCTTGCTTTCCCTCTTACCCAGTGTTCCTGCTCCCAGTCCCTGCCGACATTCCAGAGGAGCTTTTCTTTTTTAATTATAATTGTTTTTTTGGGACAGATAATATTTCTATGATCAGTCCTTAATGGAGTCTTGTATTACTACTGATGATTTAATGTTTAGATGTGAAGATCACATCTGAGAACTAGATTTCCCAGAGAGGCTGTGGAATGTCCCTCACTGGAAATATTCCAGAACCATCTGGACACAATTCTGTGCAATGTGCTTTAGGAAGACCCTACTTTACCATGGGGGAAATGTTTGCTCTTTGAAATCTTACTCCCACTCTTAAAATTACCACCTGCCTGTGATACCTGCTCACTCCTGAGTTCCTATAGGTTCTAATTTGTGTTTCCTATAAAGAAGAAAATGTTATTTCTTGAAACAACAAAATAGCAGAAAAACAAATGAGAAAGCACAAGCCTGCTGGCAGCTTCTCTTCACAAATATATCAGTAAAAAATTGGAATCACTCAAAGGAAAAACAGAGTGCTGCAGTACATGAAGATGAAATGTCCTTAGCAGACAGCTGGTTATTGTGCTTGATTGGAGAACGAAAAACACGATAGCAACTGAAAAATCTATAAACTCTCAAGATACTGCCAGCTGTCACATTGAACAGCTTCATCTCAATTCATATTTAAGATCAGCAATAATTGGTGTGTACATTTCAGCTCTGGAGCTGACTTCCATGAGGTTAATCTGGGTGACAGTGAGCAGTAAATTACAGTTATGAGACAGAAGAATGTCC